TGACATTTCAAGAAGTGTTGTCTTCATAGGTACTTTAATCATCTAGTAATATATTTCTGGTCATTTATTTATGTGTGAACTCCGGTGGAGTTGTTTTTAAACCACATATCCAAATTAAAGTTAATAAATGTAATAAGTGTTTATGTCATGTATCTAACGTTATTTTATGAAAAATACTATATTAATTTGAAAATGGGCAGGTATTAGGTAGTTCCATGATGAAAAATAAAAGGAACAGAATGTTTTGGCTGTTAAATCTACAGGTGTGAAAGAAATGTACAGTAGCAGGAATATAAAGCACAAAAGAACAAAGGACAAAGCAGGTGAGAATAGGTACAGAGCAGTTGAGAAGGCCTAAATGAAATGAGATCGGGACTTGAGAAAAGCTGAAATCTGTAAATGAAATGGGAGGTTTTGAAAGTAAATCACACCTTTGTATACTTGTTGTCCCTATTTTATCCAGCTGTTTCCATTTTTTGTTTATTAGTTGTATGTTGGATCAGCTTATTATGTTAAGATAATTCAGGTTTCTTTACTCAAGAATCTTTAGTCCTTAGTACCGTGCAACATGTTACTACAGTATAGGCAACCTCTAAAGATTTGTTTTTTCAGGTACTGTCACACACTGCAAATCACCTGCATGCTTTAGCACAAGGGAAAGCAGAATTAAGCCAACCACTAGCTGTGAAGCTGAAAGGTTACATTCTGACAAAAGGGATAAAACTGTCCTTCCTACTATTATAGCTTATGTGTATTGGCAAGAGGAGCACTTGTGCTTGCTTGTTCATGTGTTTCAGTGTGTGTGCACGTTTACAATAAGATGGAATGGCTTTGGTTTAGCTGGAAATTTCAGAGAGCACTTTGATGGATAATTTTTTACAAATGGATCCTAGTTCTAAAAATATGCTGAAATAATGTAAAGCACAGTTGACTTATTTTATACATTTAAATCTCAATTTTATATTTACTGCTACTACAGTATGTCCAGTAGCTGTTTGAAGTACTGTACAGCATTTTTCAATTGCATGTAAAACATTTATCCAGTGTTCACGAATACCTAGGTAATGAGATCTTCTAAAAACATTTGGTCATGCAAAAATGAAACATGAAACCATTTATGACAAAAGATTTACTATTTAAGTGCTAAACTGTTACAAATGCAATTAATTCTCATATTGATAAGTATTTTAATCCATACTTTGTTTTGTTTTATGCATCTAAATGCATCTTTATGCATCTAAATATGTTGTCACCAGGAAAATCAGTTGATCTCTCTCATGGTATGCTTTACATTTGTAGTACCTAAATAATTTGAAATAATTCAATCCCCCTCCCCCTGAGAATTTTTAATGCATGTGTAACCAGTTGACAAGCTGGAGTCAGAAGTAGCAATAAAGAATAGAATACAATTCATATATACCTAAAATATATACAGTACCGAAAACACAATATACAGTGTATGCACACATGAAAATAAGGAATGCAAAACCAAACCAAAAATACATTGTGCTCAGATTAGTAAGATCATTGATCATTTTAAATTACTTTGCTGTCACCCCCATGCTTCATGGTGGAGATGCTGTTACACAGGTGACAGGCTGTGTTTGGCTTGTGCTAGACATAGTGCTTTGCATTTAGACTAAAAAATTCAGTTTTGGTTTGACCAGACCAGATAATTTGCCACCTGGTCTCAGAGTCAGCCATGTGCTTTCCAGGTGTACTGTTAGCTCACATCTAGCCACTCTCCAGTAGAGGTTAAACCTGTGTGAAGCTGCAGCGATTGTTGTACTTGGACAGGACAGGTTCTCGGATCTGAGCCTCAGCCAAACACAGAACTCTGTAGTTCTGTTACGGTGGTCATTGGGTTCTTTATCGTTTTTCTGACCAAATGTCCATCTTGCTCAGTTCCTTAGTTTGGGAGGATGGTTTGCTCTATTAAGA